TTTTTTTTTTTGTTTTTTTTTTTTTTTTTTTTTTTTTTTTTTTTTTTTTTTTTTTTTTAACGACTCGGCGTTCGCTCGTGTGCCTACCTATCAAATTGGCTTACTTTATTACTAATTAAAGTGCCCCGCGTAAGGCACGATATGACTTTTATAATAAAGCAAACCATAAAGGGAAATTTTTATTTCAACCTCCTCGACCATGCAAAGTATTTTAACAGGTATTTACGATTTTTCGCTAAAACTATAACGATTTCTTCTCGTCTTTGAATATAAAAAGCGCCACGAGATGATCGGCCATAAAAATCTAACGCCTCTTCAACTTAATATCATCGTCATCATTCGTTAGCAGCCAAGTCTGTGCTAAGCTGTCCATTATAGGCTTAGTAAGCAACATTTGGGATGTAAAAGCTCCTAGTGCTACCCGGGGGATGTGCCAATGGCGGCCTCGAAAATATACATAACTTCATCGATTTTTCGTAATGAGCGACAACAAAGGATCCGTCCTCGTTCTCCCCCCCCTCTCTCCTCCCCCCTCCACGTCACCCCATCCGCCTCGAAAAAGCCGATGCTTATTACATCAGGAAATTTTAATGGTCTTTCCTTTACGCGCAAATATTGCTTTGGTATTTCAATCGAGCTTTTTTCACGCTACTTTGACGCTTAAAATTTGATGTTACCTGATCACTAAATTTTCATTTTGGATAATTTTTTATTGGAATTGCAGCAACTTTTCGGCTTCGTTACTCGTAAGTCGTATTGTAATAATTGATTTAACGAGAACTGAATAATAATAAAGTAATAATTCACCGGACTATCGATTCATTAATCTCACTTCACGCCAAGATTATTCAATGGAAATTGTTGTCTTTGTCGGGGAAATCCGTAAACTTGGAGCCACCCGTACTTTTTCAAATTCATTATATTGAAATAATATTCTAACAAAGCGGTAAAAAGTGTAAGAATGTGGAGGAGAATTAATGCCATATGCTCCAAGCGTCACTTTCCAGTAAGTGTGCAATTAAAAAAAATTACTCAGTAATTAATGACGCGAAACGAACACGAATTAACATAAACGAATCCTCCTCCGATATGAATTTTAATTAAGATCAAGTAGTCGTTGCCATTTTCAATTGCATTTGGTAACAAAAGCATTTTCTCTTCAATTCTATCCAATTCTGTCAATGAAATCCTCACCAACTTCTCCAACAATATCATATTGCAATCATAATACAATGAGGTAATCTTTAGTCTATGCATTTGCGATTCTATCGCTCTCGCGCGATACATTGAAAATCCAAGAGGGAAAAACAAGGAAATAACAGGAATGAAGAATTTCCTCGCGATACGCACTACAAAATGAAAAATGAGCGTACGGCTTTTGTTTTTGCACCGACCCTTACTTACTTAAAGCGGCCGGATATAAAGTACGACACGTCGCCTCTTTGACAAGCAGCCGTTGGCTCTTAACGGACGGTCGACCGAAGCGCCGCGAGACTCTGCCTGCGCGCGCTCACATATTTTTGCACGTGTGTATGTAGGGGCGCGCGGGTGTGGCAGTCGCTGTGCGCTACGTCGAGGCAGAAGGGCAAATGGGTAACCCGATTTCTAAAGCTTGAGCAAATTTTGGAAATATCGCCGATCGTCTCGAGACCTCAATCGCGGAACTCGCCCCGCATCCTCCCCATCCCGTCCAATTTCTTCCCATCTCCCGTCCATCGCCTCGCCGCCCATCAACACAACTGTCCGTCACCACTCGCATTACAGTGCATGCTGTGGAGCTGGTACATGGCGAATGACATGCAGTTCTACGTCCTCGGAATCTTCCTGCTGCTGCTCTCGGTGAGGCACTTCCGCGCGGTCGTGGGGGCCGTGCTGCTGCTGATGGTTTCCTCCTGGTTCACCACCTTCTCGATCGCCTACAGGAACGATTACGTGGCTAGGTAAGCCAGCTGGGAGGCGCTTATCGGTGCTCGGCCGGCCGATTCAATTACCGGAGTTACGGCCGGGCGTCGCGTTAAGATCGCCGGCCTCGTAGCCGGAAGTGGCGCCGATGCAAAGCCGCGCTTAATCAGCGCTTTACGACCAGGGCACTTTCGAGGGCATTGCGCGCGTCCCTTATTAAGGGCGATTGCGATACCGAGTACGAGGCGAGGTCGAGTACGCGGGAGCTTCGAGTAAGGGCTTTTTCGAGCCCGGCGTGTAATTACTCGTGGGGCAATTGAGTTTATGCCGAGCGCCATGATCCCGGCCTGTCAGTCAGTCAGTCAGTGCAGGTTCTACGACTACGAGTGTGCGCACCTCGACAAACTACACGGGCCTGCTTACGCGCATTTCAACGGCTTATTTGTTTATCGTGCGTCGTAGTTAGTTCACTTGGTTGGGCGAAACATTCTTATGAAATCGTGGTGGTGGGAACGGGCGGGATAATGCGATATCATTCTCGTCAGCTTCTCGCTATTTATCGAGAAAATCAGCGAGAGATTAAACGAGAGTGTCACATACGTTTCTACCGGCGCTTCTATTAATGCGATCGAGATTAACGAAAGATTTTACATCGCCGTTTCGTATGGCGCTTATGAACAAATGAAATATGTGAACGATCGACCAAGCGACTATCGATCGGGAAATTTATGTATTTAAAGTGGACTGGAATTTTTTTTATCAGCTTGGCTAATAGTTCGTTCCCATAAATTCATTGTTCGCCGAAATAATTCGATGTTCGACGTATCGATTCCTATTTTATCCAGCGTTATCTACTACGTAGACTCGAAGAAGTCTTACTAATTTAAGACTCTCCCCCCCCCCCCCCCCCCCCCCCCCCCCCCCCCCCCCCCCCCCCCCCCA